AAATAAAATAAAAATCTCTATTCCAGATTGGATATGAAAATGCAATCTGTTTTTCTTCTTTGGTGGAGTCGACGAGCATATTATTAAAAGATCGTTAATCCTTCTTATCTTGCTAGTGGAGCCAATTTATTCATTCAACTCAAGAACTACCTTTGCTATGCAGAAACATCGGTGATTTCTTGGGTTGGGGATTCTGGCGGAGCCTATAACAGTGGCCATAACCATGTCTCAAATACATTTGTGTATAAATTCTGGTAATGTTAGCAGCAAAAACGTTTTCTTAATTGTTTAGTTGCTCATAGCTATTAATTGGATTATGTTTGGAATATATGAAACTTGGATCAACTTGGGATGGCATCAGTTTATGATACAAAAACATACTGCAGACAAACATTGATTGGTGGTAACTATGGTTTACTTAAAACAACTTCTGCTCTAAATCCAGATGTAATTGAATTCTTTATTACTACCAGAAATGACTTGACACTACGATATATCAGATTTCACCAAATTATCTGCTGTCTTTGTAGTGCTCTATTTGGCGTCAACTAATGAGATGGAATGTTACGTCGATCTGTCAACAAACATTATAGGGATGAACATGATATTGAGAATTAGAAACCATAATTCTATATCATTGAGAACAGTAAAATTGCAGAACGAAAATAGACCCATAAGATTTATATAGATTTGCCTCAATGGGAGACTTAACTCCTCGTCCGCCGCTACAATAATTCACAAGAGAAGATTGCACACATTATCTTCTATAACCCCTCTCTACTTTTATGATTATTCAAAGCCCTAATGATGGCTCCCTATTTATAAAACAGATGAGGGCAAGGCCGAAATTATAAGTGTGAAATTGCTAAACTATTCTTAATGAAATCTTGGTCCAGAGTCTCCGCCCACCCTGTACCCCCTGGGAGGGGGATTCCTACTTCCTTTTCAACTCCATGCAATCTCACCGCGGATATTGATCCGCGTACGCACTCCGCACAGCGGCAATAATTAAGCTACATAACTTAACACGTGTTTCATGCTTCTGCACATTGCGTGAAACAATCTGTAAGTTCAACCGAACTTGACCTAAACTACAGACATTATTTTGTGTTCGTAGGGAGACTTAATTCATACTACATTCTTGTAGTCACAGTACTGTTCAGGCTAAGGTAGACAGTAGACTTCAACGGTACCTCTGTGCACGAAATTTGGCTCAAGAGCCATAGAGAAGAATATCACTTGACACAGAAGGATGGAAACAGTCAGAGACAGATGGTGCTGCCAATGGAAGGCGTTAACCGTAGACTCATCTGCAGCTATACCAACTTTTACGCTGGTTACTTGCCTTGTCGAAGCCTGTAACTGTGGTCCCTGGTTCTCGTATTTGTTCACATGCCAAATGTTTCTCTTCCCGCGTGCATGCTGTAATTAGTATGTCAAAAACAGAACTTGAATCAATTCCATTTATGTTTTCGTTCGGTCAATTCAAACATGACCAAGTATGGAAAAGTTTTCTTGTAATTATAGTCAATGAAAGCACTAAATATAGTGGATTTCTTTGTCAATTCTCTCGATAAACTGCTCCTTCAAAGGTCGAAAAATGTCCTTAGAATCACACTCAACAGACATTTTGAACTCAAATGTAGCATTTACAGTTTATTTCTAGAGAATACATATTTGCAGTCTCTATTGCATGGATACTTCAACTACGGTAGCGTGTTCATGTCAAACACGTGTTGAATATCAACATTCATTGAACACTCTACCATGATCATTTTTCTTTTTCTATTAGAAATATAATATATTTTTAACTCAAAGTTATTAATAAATAACAAATATGTACTCATATCTAAAAGATTTCAACAAGAAAAATTAGTAATCAATATAAAACTAAATTTATATTATATAAATAGATAATTTTAAAGAATTTAATCAACGTGTCGGTAACATGTCGTGTTTGTATTTTAATGAAAAATCGAGTCAACGTATCCGGCACGTGTAGCGTTAAACATAAGTGTCCGTGTCCGTGCATCATAATTTATAGTAGCCTATTTTATAAAAATAACTACAGTAAAGAGTGTCATTTACTGAATGTAATCCTATCCAATCGGTTACGTCAGCAACCATGGCCCCATCCATGGAGTGCCTACTTTGATACCATTATTATGAACTCACCATGAAAATCGGCTTATAAGACTAGTAGACTTTATAGTTCTTACAAATGACAAAACACCCCAATTTTTTTTTTGAAAAATACAAATTTCAACTACTCGACATTTTACAGAATTCTTGATTATTCGAGTTCTGAACCATATATGATATTGCAGAAGCAATATAAAATTACAAGAATCATATATGGTGTAATTTACAAGAATAGATAATGTAAAATGCCAAAAGCCTATGATTTTATATACACGTACAGAATAAAGGGGGACAAAAAGTCCTACGTAGCTACAAGGCAAGCTATTCCTCAAAATTGTTGTTCAGGTCATTAATACTTCTGAACAGATTCTGTTGATTCAGAGGTCGATATTCAATCGCTATTCGAGAAGGTTTGTGGCTTACTGCTTGCAAGTGCCAACCATACGATAGTACCAGTAAGATAGAAGAAGATTGATGGTGCAAACAGTGACATCTACATGACATAAAAATAATTAAGTAAACACTGAGGTTGCATGCTATTAATATAGGATCTTGAATGTGGAGTAAAGAATGGTAACTTACACCCCATGAATGAGTTGAGTCGAGAAGGTAGCCAGTGAGAGCAACACCCACAATTCCAGGTATAGCTCCAATGGTGTTCGTAATGCCCTGGACGAACAGATCAAATTTATCACCTCACTTTCAATTGAAAATGAATATGAAGAGAAGTCTATAACTGCTAGTCATAGAAAACAGAGTAACTGCTTAGTTCTCTTGCATACCAAAAGAATGCTTGCGTATTCAGGTGAAATGTCTTGATGCGTACAATATAGTCCTGCAGCCAAGAATTCTTAGATTAACACTCGAGCAGATAGATTAAAATTGTAATCTGAATAATTTCATTCAATGTAAGCACGAAATGCTATTCTATTCAGTACCTGATAAGGCAAAACTTGAGAGTGCCAAACCGCCTGTGAGAATTGCCACCACTTCCCATGGATCTAGTCCCAAGTCCAAAGAGGAAAGAATCATGCAAGTTGCAGGAGACAAAAATGCAATTGTTTGGCAAATTTTCCTCACCTGTTACAACAAGAGGCACCGATTCTAAAGGTCCAGGCAATTTGTAAATTGATTTGATTCTTCAATTTTTAATTCTGTTTTGTAAATTGATTTCGTTGTTCAATTTCAAAACATAAAGAGAAAAATCGATTACATATTTCATTCAGCAAAATAAACATCTTTAATTTGCACACTCAAATCTCTTTTTTCCCATGCAAACACACTACTGACTATAAAGGATAATTCAATAATCAACGACGAGTGTAATTTTTTCTTCAAACGACAACCATGAAAATCAACATGAGAAAATCATAATAAATGAAACTGCAAACTTGGTCAGAAAGAACCAAACAATTGAAGAACTTATCAGAGTGCCACATCACATACATAGTGATGAGGTATAAATCTGACAGACCCAGCTCAACTTTACAAAGAACCCACATTATTACGCACTCTCCACCTGAAGACAGGCACCTTGGGCCTCGGGGACCATATAGACCACATTCAATAGGCTTTATATCTCACTCCCACAGGACTGCTCACCCGGATGGCAGAATCCCTAGTACAAGTGTACAACTATACTACTTCAAGGCTATATTCCTACTATTTACCAACTAACTGTGGGACATTGCAACTATGACTCATCTACTTACTACAACGGCACTCCTGATTCTACTAGGAGTGGCTCTCTATTAGATTACATCCAAATTGATTCAGATTCATCAAGGGGAGTTCTACACCATGTAGGACTAATTCCACCATAAAACTCTCTCTCCATGGTGGCACGAGCATCGAAGGGCAATGCAGCCACCCCCGTTGTCTTTGTTGCAGGTACCTAGAAGCTGCGTCTGAGAGCTTGAGGTCAAGCGTA